AAAATTAAAATGCAAGTTGATCTGTTTCTGTGTAAAAAACTTTTTCAAAACATGGTGGCTGTAAACAAAAATAAACATTTATTATCTCTCAGAGTTTTTGTGTATCAAAAATTTGTGACTTGTGTGGCTGACCATTTTTGGCTCAGAGTGTCACATGAGACTGTAATCATCTTAAAGCTTGTCAGAGGCTGGAGGATCCACTTCTAAGGTGCCACCCAGGGCTGGCAAATTGCTGTTAGCTGTTTATCAACAGGCCCCAGTTCCTCTTTTACGGGCTTTCCAAAGACTGGGTTTCTCTAGAACAAGCACTAAAATAGGGCAAGATAGATGCTGCAATCTCTTTTATGACCTAGCCTCAGAAGTCACATACCATCACTTCCTCTTGGTCACACATACATCAATTTCCTCTTGGTCACACAGGTCAGCTACATAGGGGAAGGGGCTCTATAAGCATGCCTATGGAGAGTGTTGATACATGGAGGCCAGGATCCATGGGGGTCCATCATGGAAGGACATTTAGTTTATAGACGTCTATATTTATATATATATAGTTTGACTAACACAGTAGGCCATAATCTGTGAGAAAAACTTTTATGCACATATATCTCACAAAGGATTGGTGTAATTAGAATATATATAGAAAAGGTAAAAATAACTTGAAATGGAGAAAAGATTTCAACAGACACTTCACAAAAGAATATATATAAATGATCTATAAGCAAATGAAAAGATGTCCAACATCATTAGTTATTAGGGGAATACAAGAGAAAAAACAATGACTCACCAATACATATCTACTAGAATGGCTACGATCAGAAAGGACTGACATTACCAAGTGTTGGAGAGGAAATGGAACAACTGAAACATACATTGCTGGTGAGAATGTAAAATGGTACAACCACTTTGGAAAGCAGGTTGGCAATTTCTTATAAGGTTAAATATAAACTTACCATACAGCCCAGCAATTCTACTCCTAGACATTATTTACCCAAGAAGAATAAAAACATGTATCAACACAAAGATTTTTAGCCACATATTCAAGGAATCTTTAGTCATAATAGCCAAACATTTGGAAACAAACAAAATATCCATGGTATTAGAAAAAATTTTAAAAATTTGGCAAATCCATAGAATAGAATAGTAGTGAACAGTAAGGAAGGAACATTGGTACACACAACATGAATGAATCTCTAAAATATGTTGATCTAAAGAAGCCAGACACAAAAGAGTACATAATGTATAATTCCACATATACAAAATCCTTGAATAAGTAAAATTATTATCCAGTGACAGAAAGCAGTTTGTTGGATGTCAAGGACCAGGGATAAAAGAAGGTTAAGCAGCACCCAAATGGGCAAAGGATATGAAGCACACCCATCCCTTTCACAAGTACATGTGAAAGAGGGAAATTTTAAGGTGCAGGGAAAACAGGTTAGTACAGGGTTTCCCACCTTTGGCACGAGATTGCCATTTGACTCATAATTCTTTGTTGCTGCAGGTGTATGTGTGCGTGTGTGTGTGTACTGTCTTGTGCACCAAAAGATATTTAGCACTTTCTGGTCTCTCCCCACAAGATGCCAATAAAAATTTCTCACTCTACTCCACAACCAGTTGTGACAATCAAAAATGTCTCGTGACATTTCCAAATGAACCCTGGGGTGCAAAGTTGTCCCCACTTGAAAACAACTGGGTTACTGTATTTGTTATCTATTGCTGTGTAACAAATTATCCCTCAAATTTGGTGTCTCAGAACAATAAACATTTTTATCTCACAGTTACTATGGGTTGGGTATTTGAGAGTGACTTAGTTGGGGGATCTGACTCAACTTTTCTACTGAGGTTGAAATCTAGATGTCTGCATCATCTAAATGCCTGACTGGGGCTGGAGAAGCTGTTTCCAAGATGGTTTAATCACACAGAGATTGGCAGAAGGCTCAGATCCTTGCTGGGTTTTGGCAGGATATTCTATTCCTTGCTGTGTGGGCATCTGATAAGGTTACCTGACATGTCCTCATGACATGGTAACTGCCTTTCCCAGAGCAAGTGATCTGAGAGGGAGTAGAGAGAGGTCATAATACCTTTTTAAAACCTCCTCTTAGAAGTGACAGCCTGTCACTTCTGCTGTATTGTATCCATTAGAAGCCAAGTCATGAAGTACAACTCACATCCACTTGGAAATTAATGTCCCTATTTTTAAATTTTTTTAATGTTTTATTTACTTTTGAGAGAGAGAGAGAGGCAGAGTGTGAGTTGGGGGAGAGGGGGGAGAGAGAGGGAGACACAGAATCTGAAGCTGGCTCCAGGCTCCCAGCTGTCAGCTCAGAGCCTAATGCAGGGCTTGAACTCAGGAGCTGTGAAATCATGACCTGAGCTGAAGTTGGACCCTCGACTAACTGAGCCACCCAGGTGCCCCTAGTCTCTACTTTTTAAAGGCAGGCATGTCAATAAATTTGTGGGCATATTTAAAAATGATCATAGTTGGAGAAGAATTCTTTAACAAACAAGCTGGAGACGATCACAGGCTATTTAGAGAAAATAAAAAATTGATCATCATTCCAAAATACATCTGAAGGATTAAATTATTTAATGAAAAAAACTGAAATTATCAAATGAATAAAAATATATAAAGACAGATGAATTATATGATAGAAGGATGGTAAAGGACTTGTGAAGCAAAAAATAATATTAGAAAACAAAAATGGAAAAGGTCAGTCATTTTATCTGGGATCAATATCTACATTACACATAAGTTGCCTTTTTGTGAATACCCCAGTAAGAAAATTAACAATGCCTTTTTGAGAATACCCCAGTAAGAAAATTAACAATGAACTAACAGTAGGATACATATTTGCACATATGAAAATATACCGTGATGACTTTGGCACAGTGAAGAAGGACAATCATATACTCTTAACAGTGCTGTGGGAAAATTGATAATAACAATATGACAACAGTAATTTATTATGTGGCACAAAATTATAGGTATTTTATTTGTAGCAATTCATTTGCTTTTTACTACATTATGTAGGATTATACTAATTTTTTGGTTAAGGCACTGTCAAATGAAGAATTTAGCCAAATCTCAGAGTTTGTAGGTGGCAGCAAAATTGACTTATCCAATTGTCAGTAGGCATGGTGCCTCGGGCTTGCCATACTTTAGGGGCCCATAAAAATGCTTTAATTTCTTTTAAAATCAGAAGGGAAAAAGTGAATATTTAGGTCGAAGAAAGTGTTTTAATGCATAATATTAATATGTGATTAATGTTTGTCATTATATCAATGCAGTTATGAACATAATTTTTAATATTACTTTATGGAGGAAGAGGTCCACAAAGGTAAAGGCATTTAGGATACATGGAAGTATGAATGTGGCCTTCCTGCATGGCAGAAATGCATTTTGATCCCATGCAATGTGACACCTAAGCCTATGTTCTTTCTGGAAGACAATTGGCCAATGGGTTTCAAAAGGGTTAAAAGTGTTCACACGTCTGATTACTTTTAAGGGTTTAAACTAAGACAGTAAGTAATGACACAGACAATGATTTATAAAAAGATACTTATTTATAACAGTAGTCATCTGCAACCAAAGAAATGTGGAATAATGAAAAGTTGGCTCAATATTGGCTATCAATTTAGGGGCCTAGATGACTAATAGGAGTTTCTGAATGGAAGTGAACCAAGGGGAAACTGAAGACTCAGGGGAGCTGAAAATGAGAGAGTAGAGCAAGAAGTGGAAGGAGGTCTATAGGCATTCTGGAGATGCCGTACAGACCTCTGCTGAGTATGTGTATGTAATATCAGAGTGCACTTGTAAGCATGTTCCTGAATTTATTTTTAAAAGGATTGAACAAGCAAAATGGTGAGGAAAAGGTTAGAAGAATCAGTACTCATAGCAGAGATCAGTGAACACAATCAGGAAACTCTGAAGATAGAACTCTGAACCCCAAAAAGAGAGGGGCCAAGCATGCAAGAGTAAAGAGGCCTCGAAGTTCATGTTAATCTTTCTCTTGAAAGCTCTTAAGAGCCAGTGAAAGATTTTAAACAGTAAAGTGACATGCTCAGATGTATATTTTAGAATAATCATAGTGGATTACTGTGCATTGAGCCCTGGTAGGAATTCAGAGTGTAAAGACTGATGGAATGGAGAGGAAGAGAATGTACATTCATTCAGTCAAGGGTTCTTGAATTCTACAATTGTTCATGGGGTGTTGATGTTGTTCTTGGTATGCACTTTTTTCAAAAGCTTAATTAGGATGGAAGAAGAGAGAGAACTAGAAAGAGGTTTTAAAGTCAAGGAAGAGTTTTAAGCCAGAAAAGACTTAAAACATGATCATGCTGAGGGGTTCACATGAAGGAGCAGACAGGAAAGGGGTTCGCGTTGGAGAGGAACAGGGATCCCCAGCTTTTTAGACAGAAGGAAAACTAATAAGCTTGGGTATGGATGTAGGTTATTTGTGGGATCGGGTGAGGCAATTGGGCAAAAATTGAAGAAATTCATGCTTGACGGCCTTTATTACTTAAGTAGAAGACCAGGTCATTTGGTGAGTAGTGTGGTCGTCACTGACCGATTTGCAGCGTGGCCTTTCTTGTAAAAGCAACACACTGTACCAACATCACTTCTGCGGACTAGTTGATTCGTTGTATAAATGGGGATAATAGACCCTTTTCCATGGTATTCCTGTGTGAATTTATTGCGCTGACACATGCACTTGCTTAGTATTAGTTTATCTTTGTACTCACACTGGAATACCGGGAGTGAATGTTTTGATTACTCATATAAATAAAGTGGAAGTCTTCCGGCGTGATCATCTCATCTGTTAAATACAATTATTTGCTCTTGCAATGGGTTTTAAGTCAGATACTCAGGTCAAGGAGTATTTATTAAAAGCCTACTTTTGCTGTAAAGCATTCAACAAAAGAACGCCAGTGCCCCGAGGACTTTACTTGAGGTCATTCACCGGCTCTGCCCTGAACCGGAAAGTCAAGTCAGCAGCACCTACCTCCAGCTTAGAAAAGCCTCTTCCCAAATCTCAGCGGCAACCCCGCCCCTTCCACAGGTTCGGGCCCCGCCCCCCTCTCCCATTGGCTGGCCCTCCACCTCTTCTCGACCGCTCCGAAGACCCGGAGGAGCGGAGTTTTCCAAAAGCATCATCGGGGCGCCCTTGCTGCGCATGCTCGCGGGAAGCCGGATTCCGGGTCCGGAGTTGGAGGTTTTAGGCGGCCGCCGCTCAGCGCGCTGTGCGGGGCCGGTGAGGAGGCGCGCGCTCGTGGCGCGGCGCCGGCGACGCGAGCGCGCGGCGCGCTCCTGAGGAGGGAGGTGTGGGGTCTGCTGGGGGTGGCGCGTGGCCGGGGTGGGGGTGGGGGGAGGGTCGGGTGTCGGCGAGCGCGGCGAACGGGTTCCAAGTGGCTGCAGGCGGCCTGGGCTGCCGGGGCCGACGCCTGGGTGGCTGCTGCCTCCGCCGCCGCCGCCGCGCCTGCTGCGAGATGGCGATCTTGGGTGCGGAAGGGTGAGGGCGCCCGCCGCTGGAGGAGGCGCCGCTGCTGTGGCCGCCCGACCGCCGGGAGCCGACAGCTTCGCGCCGGGTAAGGACGCCTAGGCGGGGGACGGGGGGCGCGGGCCCAGAGCCGCCGCGGCGGTGCAGGTAGCCCAGCACTGGCGGCCCCGGGGCGGGACCCTGTGAGGGGCCGTCGGAGACGGTCCGCGTCGCCCTGGCTGCCGTCTCCAGCCCAGGGGCCGGGAGTTTTCTGGGGTGGGGTCACGGGTCTTGCCCCGAGTTGGCCCTGGCACAGGCCCGAGATAATGATACTGGAACGAAGTGTTTCCGTGACTCTGCAGCCGCGCTTCTCAAGCTTCCTTAGCCTTCTCTGTTCTACCTTCTTTCCGTTTGCCCAACACCTCTCCGAAAAACACCCGTGTTTGGACTTACTGCCCGTGCTCTGACTTTGACCGCAATTCTGCCGTCCCAAACCAAGGACTCCCAGGCTTGGAACGTCTTTCTGACGTGTTTTGTTTTGTTTTTTAATCACTCCCGGTTCTACACTGACTCTGCAGTCCCCCCCCCCCCACAACCCCCACATCCACCTTTGTGACCTGGTAGATCCCAGTGACCTTGCAGTTTTTACTAGTCCTTATCTGTGACTTGGACCTTCTTTCATCTTTAATTTTTTTTTTTAATTTTGTAGTTTGCCCATTGCTTTTACAGCCTTTAAATGATCAGTCTTCTCTTTACTCCATCGTTTGGAGTTGAGCGTCCTATGCTCCCGTAATTATATGAAACCTTCCTTACCAAAGACGAGTATCTATTATTTTGACATTTTTACTCCTCTAGGATAAAATATTTCCCATGGGCTTGATTTGGCTTTCTTTTTATGCTTGGCAAGTTTTTATCTTTCTGTGTAGGCTACCGTGCAAAAAGATTTGAGTTTCTGCTTTAAACAGCTCTTGGTAATAGTGGAAAAGAATAATGTACAAAGTTATCTTTTACCCCCTTTGGTATTTTTACCTGAAGTGCCTGGGGTACAATGTTTGCGGTCTTCTGCAAGAATTCATCCTTGTGTATAAATCCACTTTACCAGTCTCACTGAGTCTCTGCATTATACAAGCAAAATGCACCTCTTAAAAAACAAAGGCATTCTTTTATTTGTGACTTGTTTTTTAGCCATTCAGTAGATAAGTAGCTGTGATTAGAAATGATCACTTTTCATAAATAGTTACTACATTTTTTTTTTAAGTGAAACCTTTGTGACCAAGTGTTGGGAACTACTCAAATTGATAAGTGTAAAGTATACGGAATAGTTATTTGGTATGTAGCTTCTTAACGTTTTCAAGTAGTTCTTTCCTTAAAATGCAAAACTGTTTATAAGACATCTAACATCAGGACTTACAAAGGGTTATGTTTTTTGGAGACCTGTGATAAAGGATGTTGCAAATAAGTTCTCTGCCTTCAAAGAGATAGTAATCTTTGCTGTTTACCCCATGAAGGCTGAAATGTCTTTTACTTCCTTGCACAATTATTAAGCATCTACAGCAAGACTGTGTGAGGTATTAGGGGGAATGTAAAGGTGAAGATTATAGCAGTTTCTGCCTTCACTGACTAGTTAGGTAAGACTGTACACAAATGCTTCATTTGTCTTTTAATACATAGTTAAATTTCATATGGAATTCAGATTGGGAGAGGGTAGAGCTCACAACTTATTTAGCAAGGTGGGGTGAGAAGTGTTAATTCCTAGAGTCGTCTTCTGGCATCTGAGGTTTTTGTTTTAAAGGATGACTATGACTTTTGATAAGCTGAGAAAGGTAATCCAAGCAGAGAGAAGGGACTAAGATAAGAGCACAGAGTTCATGCATTTGGGTAGAGGCAAATAATTATATTTGGATGGAACATAAAGTATTTGTGCTAGTATAAAGGGTGCTAAAACTTGAAGTAAAAGTTTGAACCAGTTTATGATTGCTTTTAATGCCAGGCCAATGACCTTGGATTTAGTAGGCATTAGGGTTTTACAGATGATTTTTGGGTTGCGAATGAAATGATTAAACTTTTGTATTTAGAGGTTTAATTTGGCAGCAATGTGTAGTGTGAATTGAGGTAGGAATCTGGAGATAGAAAGATCTCTTGGTTGCTGAGGTCATAGGTAATAAGGGTATGGACTATGGCTGTAATAATAGTAATGGAAAGGAGGAAGGAAGTTGAATGGATAGAATTTGATGATCAGAGAGAAATGAAGAAAGTAAAAATAACTAAGATTCTGATCCAGGTTGGGAAAAGAATTGTACCATTTTGAGCAATATCTATGGAAGCTTTTTCTTTGGCAAATGTATGTTACTTTACAGCAGTAGTTCTCAACCTTTTGGTAATTACTCATCCATGATTAAACTAAAAAACTCTGGTCCAGAAAACTTCCATATGCACCTGTGTTTTGTGGGTATAATTTTAGAGCAGTCCATGAACCTGGACTCACCTGAAGCTTATCCATGGAATCCGTGGGTCAATGAGTTGGGCTAGGAGCTTCTCAGAATTAACTAGGCCTTTTAAAACAATTGAATCTTCAAATTCTTTCATTTACTGATAACCCCTACTTCAGAGACATACCTTATACACACTTAGATATATCTCTTTACACTTGTGTTGTGGTTTATGGCTTACAAAGAATTTTGACTATGGTATGTTATTTGCTATTATATAACAACCAACTAACCCAAGGGGATAAATGATTTGCCCTAAGTGTTTCAGTTAGTATAAAGTGGAATCAGGAGTTAATTGACAATGAAGGTGTTCTTTCTTGTCAGATGTATTATTTAGCATCTGTTGCATATAGTTACTGCCTTTAAGTGACCTCATTAGTAAGACTAAATGATCCTGGAGGTTCCTTCCAGTTTTTAACATTCTGTGATTCTTAGGTCTTTGATTTTCATTGAATTATCTGTACCCTTCTTCTTTTCCATGCACAGGAGAGCTGGTGAGACTGAGAATGAATTGGGTGTATGGAGAGCAGCAGATAGCAATATCAGATCAGTCATTTACTTTTATTATTTCCTTTGTATCTCAGTTTGGGTTTGAGGGTAGAGGAAGGGAAGTGAAATAAGAAACCTTAAGAACTTTTATCTTTATTCTATCTTCTATATTCAGGTATGCCTTACTTGAAAATACTTCACTTCATTCATGAAGCCTTATCAAGTGAAAGTAGAAACTTTATAAATGAAATGAAGTGTGGGGTCCTGTCAGTACATTTTTTCATTTGATTAAGTTGCTAACTTTCCCTAGTATGGTTAAAGCATAATTTGATTAGTAAATAATTGACTCCACCTATAAGATTATCTTCCTGGAAGGGAACCTGAACAAGTTATTTTTTAGTGTCTTTTATAGCTCTAGAAACTTTGATTCCACAATTATTAGAAAGACTGGGGTCTTTTCTACCATTTCTATAAAAATATGTAATAACAAGTAGTAGAAAAAATATTGGCCTTTTTAGTGGTGTTGAAGGAAGTTGTTGCTAATACTTAATGGAGGAAAACTATTTAGCCATAGCACATACATAGATGAGTTTTCTTCTCTGCTGGCATTAAGAGTATCATATCTTAGATTTGTATAGCATTTGACATTTTTCCATAATGGCTATATAGACTTTATCATTTGATTCTTATGACAGCTGAGCAGTAGGTGTTCCAGTAGATAATTATTGCTTTTTAGATGAATACAGTGATGCTCAAAGAAGTTAAAACATTTTTTTCCAAGTGTATGACTAGTAGGTAGCTAAAATTAGAACTAGAGCTAAAACTCATATTTTTGTTCCTAGGTCAGCAATTGTGTGTGTGTGTGTGTGTGTGTGTGTGTGTATGCACGCGCGTGCGCTAACTCTTCATCTACAAAGGAAATTTAACTGAAGGCTATCTGTGAGGAGTTTGAATTTATCTGTTTGGAATCTATGTTAAACTTTTGTATTATGTACATCTGAACTTGTCTACTTCCTTTGTGTTAAAATGGGAACCTCATAGCAGTGGCTGTTGGTGGGTAATTTTGAAATTTGTAAGTATTTATCACAAAATAGTTAACCTCCTGTCAAGAAAAGAGCTAAAGTTGAGTTCTTGTCTGAAAAAGTACATTGGTGAAATATAAATGTTAATTTCCTTCTGAAAATTTGTTTTTTTTTTTTTTTTTTTTTTGAGAGAGAGAAGGCACAAGTGAAGGAGGGGCAGAGAGGAGAGAGAGAGAAAATCCCAAGACTGGCAGAGAGACAAGCAAGGCTCACCTGAAGGGGGGCCTGAGCTAACCTAATGTGGAGCTCGAACTCATGAACTATGAGATCATGAACCATGAGATCATGACCTGAGCTGAAGTCAGGTGCTTAGCCAGCAGAGCCACCCAGGTGTCCCTGAAAATTTGACTTTAATTCAACTGTTTTTACAGATGAAGTTTGGTCTTCCTTTATAAAAGCCTAGTTTCTGAAAATTTGTATTTTTGGAGCATATAAATCAAGACGTGATTTCCAAAAGTATCGTGATGTTTCATGATTTTTACTATTACATAAAAAGCTTTATCATTGGAAAAAGATTTGCCATTAAAGCTCTTAGTATACACTTCAGATTCACATGATTAAACAACTTTTGGAATATATTATCTGAAACCATATGCCAGATAATTCCTAAGTTAGAAG